ATACACGGGCCTGCCCTGGGCTTACTCCTACTAGATCAACGAGACAGTCAGTGATTTTAACATACTATTGTTTCAAAATAAAGTACCTCTAGCCAGAGCAAAAACTGCGCAGGTATCCTCTTTTTTTTTTTTTATCGATGAAAGACAATTTTTTTTTTAAGAAACGGTACCCTACAGTGGGATTTTCTCCTATATTGTGGTGTCATAAATAATTCGCTATATATTTTTATGATGCTATATATACCGTGAAGTGACGGTGTAAGAATATCCACTCCCCCATATCATCCCGTGGGTGTCGTAAAAGGCAGCAGAGGGAAATTGGATAGATGGCAAGTATGACGCTTGTGGCAGAAATTGTCCAGCTTGATAGACACGTTACACGAGGCCATTGGACGGCACCTTAAACAAGCATGCTTCATTATCATATCTCGCCAAATTGACTCCGTGAACATGATCGTCCAAAAGAACATATTCATGAAAATGTGTATTACAAGATTACAACTTCTAGTACTCCAAATACTAGATATTTCATTTCACGTTCATTTCTTACGTTACTTTAATTATTTCTGTGGATTTCCGAATAAACATTCGTTGTACTTAGTTTTAATTTGCACAATAATTTTGTTGTTCTAAACTAAGTACAAAATTTCCATTAGCTTCAAGCCTGACGAGTTCAGTATTTTGGGTTTGTCACGTCGAAGTATTTAATCCTTATGTGAGTAGGTATATACGAGTACAAGTGATAGCTGCGTCATTAGTAATCTACTTGAACAATTGAGGTCGTATTCACACAACATATTTTTTGTTTTCCACCGACTTCAAAAATGAGACGGTACTCAATTCGACTGTATGTTTTTTTATGTGTGTTACCTCATAACTTTTTACTGGGTGAACTGATTTCGATGATTCTTTTTGGAACGAAGTTCCTTATCGGACGGTACGGGTTTGGCGGATGGGAGCTAGGCGACAAAAAGTGTAAGATTTTTTCGTCACTACCCTTTGTGTCATAGTGTATTTTATTTTAAATGACGCTTCATTTTAATAGACGCTAGTAATACATTTATTTGTATTTGTTAATCAAAAATATAATACGTTTATCAATAATAAGGAACTTCGTTCCAACCGAGTGTTCCACGACACTCACGCATGTTTTTTTTTATTTGAAAGCTGGTGCCTCTCATGTGGTGTCATATAAATTTAATCAAGGTTTGACCAATAGTTTTTGAGTTATCCTTAATAATTTATATTGAAGTCTGTTATACAAAATTTTTAATTTTAAATTATTCAAGACAATGGTTCATAATTAGAGTATACATAAGCATAGCTTGCTTATGTATACTCCATTATAGACATTCCATCTCAGTCTTCCGGGGTGACAACATCTACGTTTTGATTCTTAATCGAGGATAGATGTAGTGTCTAGATAGATGTAGATGTAGAGCGAGATAGATGCCTATGGGCCACAGCATTCACTTACCATCAGGTGCACTGTGTGATCGCTTATCACCCTTATTCTAAAAGAAAAGTTAATTCGGTGGAATTTCACACTGAGGGGATTGTAAAAATACACGCAATAAGCATACAGCTCATGGTTTAATAAATATAGTGTGAGGTTTGCTTCATCACGAAATCTATAATAGCATTAACGAAATAGCTATTCTAAACTGTAAAAATGTACGTCCGTTTTTCACTTAACCAAAGCTAAGTGGTGTGGCGAATGAATAAGATGTAATGAGCAAGATAGGTATGCAAGGCAGATGTCCGAGGGTTGTGGTAGTGAAGTTTACAACCACTTACAACCCTCGCTCGTAACGAGATCCTCGTTTTAGTAACTGTAAAACCTTTACTTTATTGGTCCTTGTTCCACCAAAGCTAATATGAGCCAAACTATGAAAAACACACTGACGTTTTGTATGCAATACTCCAAAGACGTATTAAAAAAGAACATCTTAGCAATACTCCGTAAAGTGTCTGACACGGCAGGTAACGGATTAACTATCTTATTAGGGGCATTCGCTTATAGTTTCACAGAAATACTCGCATATCTTCACTTAAAAGACAGCCTTACCCATACTGCATTATTCGCACACGGTCTGACGCAATTTCGCGACGCAATCTCCTTTCTTTGTTTCACCCTTTAAAACTTCGCAATTAAACAAGACAACAAAAGAACAATGCATGTACTTTAATGCGGTCAGTGTTATATTTTAGTAACGGTAATTTGTTAAAACAGATTAAATTTCAAGCCACAACCCAGATTTTAAAATATGTTCTTTCTTTACAATAAGAAACCATTAATTTAAAATTTATATTTAAACCTAAAAGTCATTTATTTTATAAAGCACAACACAGTTAATTGTTATCTATGTAATAAGTTATTTTACATCTTTTTTATACTAGTTTTATTCATTCTTATACAGTACAAAATTCACAAACAAGGCAGAAATAAACGATTATAATTAAACATTTTGCCGAGTGCTTGGAATTTTAAAAAGAAGTAAATTATTCAAGATGCGATTTCTTCCGTGTTTTACGTGCTTAAAAAAAGTTGGAATATTTGTGTGTGTAATTTTTGAATTTCAGCTTCCAAATGTTATTGGGTTGTATGTTTGATTTGTTGTATATTTGATATCATATACATATCCTCCTGTGGGTGGGTGTGGTAATAAGCGACAGAGGAAAACAACAATTCTTAATAATAAATAGAAATTAAGAAACTGCGTTTGCCAACCCGATTGCCAAGCGTGACAACTACGGCAAATATTCCTAACATAACGTTAAAGAATATGAGTTTTATATTTATACATTATGTTTTTTTTTATAGAATAAGGCTGACAAACGAGCACACAGTCCACCTGATGGTAAGTGGTTGCTGTGGCCCATAGACATCTACATCTATCTTCGTTTGCGAATTAAAATGCAGATGCGTTGTCACCCGTGAGGACAGATGGATTGCCTCTTTTCCAGTAAAAAGGGTCTCCGGTTCTCTACAGTCACCATATGAAACAAAGCAGCATTAAGCTGCTATTTTATATTTTTTGCTATACATCTTTAATCTTTCGTTATGAACTAGCAAACACACGATTTAAAAATATTTTCTCTGTAGAATTATTGTTTTTATAACCAAGATGTCGCGATCTCTGCTTATTATTGCTCGGAGACACTTACGTCATTGTTTAATTTGTTACGAATAAACATGTGACTTTGAATTTGCATTTACCCTTATTGCATCTGACCGATAAACTGCGGTTGTTTTTTTTTTATAAAATTAAAAATAATATGAATAAATATAAAATGGGCATATAATCTACCTGATGGTAAGTGGATGGCTATGGCCATCAATGGTGACAATCAGAAATGTCATGTCATGCACTTTCTCAATTTTTTCGTCGTCGATTATAACATTTAATGCAATTGGAGCTTTATTATAATTCCTAAATACTATTAGTTTTGTTTTTCCCAAAATTACTTTTAAATTAATTGAAGTTAGCCAGTTCACTACTGTGTTTAGTGTGTTATAAATTTCATTTACCAAACCAACCATCATCTAGTTTATCTATGGATAAGAATATTGTAGCATCATCAGCATACATTACACATAGATGATTGATAGTTAACGGAAGCTCGTTTACGTAAATAAAAAACAACAGTGGACCCAGTATACCTTGCGGTACACCTAGACTTAATTTTTTGAAATCGGATTGCACTTGAGTCAATGATTTTGTTTTTTTTTTGTCAAATCTATCTAATATCGTCGCCTTTATTCTATCAGTTGGAAAAGATTACATTAATTTTAGGGCTATTTCACATATGCCTATTTGTTCAAGCTGTTTTAGCAATATATTATGAATAACACATTCAAAAAATTTGATATATTCGATATAGATCGAATATTTTTGAAAAATTTGATAAGGTTATATTAGTGTTCTTTTTTTAAATCATTTGGACAAAAATCCTGTTTCTAAGATCAAATTTATAATATATGTTAGAGGTTCCGCTATTAAATGTGTACTTGATTTTATTGCTTTCATCGCTATATTATCGTCCTTTTTGTTCTTTAAATTATTTATAATGTTTATAATTTCGGAAATCATAAAAATGCTATATAAATTTGGATTATTAAGTTATTAACAGTGGGACGTATATAGGTTGTTACTTTTATTTATACTGTGAGAGCATGTTCCTTCTCCGGTCGACGTCATTCGTACTACAACTACTTATAATATAGCTGCAGCTTGGCCCTACAACATATAAAATAGCTTTGTATTGCTACATTTTGGGACGATTTGTTTATTTTGTTTTTCTATCGACTTCAATAAGGAGATGTTACTCAATTCGACTGTATATTTTTTATGTGTATTACCTTATAACTTTTTACTGGGTGAACCGATTTCGATGATTCTTGTTTTATTTGAAAGCTGGTGCTTCACATGTGGTCCCATATATATTTGATCAAGGTCTGACCAAAAGTTTTTGAGTAATTCTTAATAATTTATATTGAAGTTGGTTGTACAAAACTTTTAATTTTAAATTATTATCGTGTTTGTATGAAATAATGGTCACTTAAAAAATTACTAATATTATGATTTTTAATGTTTTATGTACTATAGCATTAAAACATTATATTTGTGTTATTTTTGTTAACGTAGGGAACCTATATTCTTAGTTTAAAACGTTGTTTCCCAAGAAAGGATTCGCCTCAACACCATGCTTGGTTAGGCGGTTGCAGCGCTAGACAGCTAGTACCATAAACGCAGATAATTGTAAATAGTATTAATATTTTAGGTGATTTACAAGTAGCAATACCGATCTCGCCGTAAATAGGTCATATGTTGTCTCAAAAAAACTTTGCCTTATCTCTTTATTTATCCCGTTCTTATCCAAATATTTGCAGTAACAAAATCTTTGTTAAATTTCCATTCATTGTAAATGAACCAAAAAAAAAAAATTGTAATAGAACTACGAAATAAAAATTTAAAAATAAACTTTTCTTTTTTCAGGAATCTGTGGTAGATTGGGAGCGCGGGTTGACGGACTTAAGGGTGACGCCGACGCCAGCGAGTGGGCCGAGCCGGAAATGGAGCGGCCGGACGCCCGAACACGCGCAGGACACCGCTACAGACGGCGCCGCGCCTGTAACGAACGCCACAGATGCCTGCAAAATGCTAATTGTAAGTATTTTTCTGACGACTTCCAAAAAGGAGACGGTACTTAATTCGACTGTATGTTTTTTTTGTGTGTGTGTGTGTCTCATAACTTTTTACTGGGTTAACCGATTTCGATGATTCTCTTTTTATTTGAAAGCTGATACTTCTCGTGTGGTTCCATATGAATTTGATCAAGGTCAGACCAATCGTTTTTGATTTATTCTTAATAACTTATATTGAAGTCGGCAGTACAAAATTTTTAATTTTAAATCATTTAAAGGACAGGTTATCACTTTAATTACGACTAATCATAGGCTCATTACTGAACAAAGGCATTCCCCGTAGATTTCAATAAAGACCCTGGACTTAAGGCGTGTAGTTGTGGCCTTAGATGCAACAGAAGGAACCAGACACAGGAGTTGGGCAGCAGCATCTTCCTGATAAGAAATCAAAATAATGAAATACTGTGGTTGCCAACCTGCAGCAACTTGGTAATTTAAGGGGGGGGGGGGGGCGTTTACTAGGCTGTAATGAAGGTCCCCGTGCCTCATTAGGGATTGCATTAGCCCTGGGCTAATACTAGTTTAGCGTCACTATTTCACCTAAAAAGATAGACTTTTATTGATGAAATTTTAAATAAGCAATTCCTGTACACGTAGAGTAGTCAATATCGGAACGCAAAAGATCCGCCAGAATTTTCTAGCTGCGTTTTCGTAGCGTGTTAGACCCATGCTGCAGCTATATTAGTAGTATAGTTGTAGCACGAATGGGTCGGCTCGATCGGGTAGGACCACGCTCTCACAGAATACCAGCGTAAAATAGCAGCTTAATGCTGCTGTATTTCGTATGGTGAGTGTAAAGAACCACTTACCATCAGGTGGACTGTGTGCTCGCTTGTCACCTTTATTCTATAAAAAAAAGCGCGCTCCCAAGCTTTTTTAGCCTATTTACGCTTAAAGGTAATTCGGGCCTTGCCTGAGCCCATCGATTCCTAGCATGCTAAGGCCATCACTTTGTAATAATAGATGTTTCTCCTTCATACCTATTCTTTAGCCAGTAAAATCCAATCCTGGACATGGGCATCTCCCGTGTAAAGAGATTATAAATAGAAGAAATTGTAAATAGAACATTATTTTTAAACCATTCACCTGGGTTGCCTTTTAACGACTCGAACCACCACCTCGTTTTTCACGTTTATTTTTTTTATAGAATAGAGTGACAAACGAGCACACAGTCCACCTGATGGTAAGTGGTTACTGTGAGCCATAGACATCTACATTTATCCTCAATAAAGAATCAAAATGCAGATGCGTCGTCACCCGTGAGGACTAAGATGGAATGCCTCTTTTCCAGTAAAATACATCTCCGGTTCTCTACACTCACCATACGAAACACAGCAGTGTCAAGCTGCCATTTTACGCTGGTATTCTGTGAGGGCATGGTCCTTCCCCAGTCGAGCCAACCCATTCGTGCTACAATTATACTACTAATATGGCTGCAGCACGGCTCTACCATGTTTATTACTTACAAATATTATTCAGAATGCTGTCAACGCTCACCACTCAACACTACCTTCTCTGTAGACAAGATGAGTACTTTTCTCAGATCAAGTCAAGATATCCATATATTTAGGTACGGAACCTACAAACCAAATAATCGTTAAAATAATTGAATAACATATCAATCAGCGAAGAGTTGTTGAGGTTATAGATAACAATTAAATTAACATGATGTCCTTCAGGCTGAATTTTTTTATTCAATTTATTAAATTAATAATCTGCTTATACAAGTAATATCGGAAACACAAACATGCAACGAACCAATGATAAAACATAAATATCAGATGTCCCACAAATACGATCCGTGAAGGATATTATGTAATCGAGGTACTATCATGTTAGGCTAAGAACTCACGGGGCGATATTTACCCGCACCGGTAGCGGAACTGCGACTTTATTTCTAAACTCACGAGACCGCAGTTTGTGCGGGTAACGAACGCTAGCGATAGATGATGGCAAGTAGATCTGGCGCAAGGCGGGCTATTAGCGTCTCCAGTTAACGGGCGTAGAGCGTGTGGGAACTGCGGCCTGCTTTTTTCTACTAGTTGCCCGCCGGTGCAGTGGCAACGGCAACATGACTACTGCACATGCCGCGGACATAAATTGCGCCGTGAAATTTACTATAGTCATACATATTTCTTATATTCCGCGTGTGTTTCGGTTCCGCTGCCGCTGCGTGCGCGTGTAAATATCGTTCCATGAAATCCTAGTGTCACAAACGAAACCACAGGAAATTCTTGCGGTTGCTTATTTGATATAACTGAAGCAGAATAAATATATTTAGGAAAACATTGCCATAAAATAGTTACGTGGCGCCATTTAAGCCGGTATACAAAGACAATCTTTAGTTTTAACTCTTAACTCCAAAAATGTCAAAATCTGTGTAACATAGTCTTTGGATACCAGACTTATACAAAAGCAATTTAAAGCCATTAGGGAAGTAAATTAAATATTTTGTGATTTTGTACGATATGGTGGGAGCTTGCAAGCCACGCGATCTCTATATAAAATGTATATGTAAAGGCAACAAAGTCATTTATCGTACCACTAGATGGAATCACAACGTGATGGTACTTGCAGTGAACCGATGGATGCAGGTGGTTTAATAGCGTGCTTGCGACCATTTATGCGGGAGACCTTTGTTTAGCAGTGGACTAGTGATGGGCAGTTAAAGATGAAATGTCATTAACATCGCGAATTAGTTTAATTACTATAAGTTTAAAATTTAGTCCTCATTTTCTGTTTTAGCTTAAATAATTCGATCTGAAATGAACTTTTGCTCCGACGAAATATAATGGACCTTCAAGGGACAACCAGCGTATATTTAGTGACCCCCTCGTTTAACTGCCTCTTTGTTATAGTGTTCGTAAACGCGACCAATGATATTGAGGTTCCCAAAGTCAGAAAATTAGCGGAAAGCACGTAAAGCCATTGGTATGATCTCTCTCCGCCCGTATCGGTTTATTGTTCCATCGGAATATGAGAGCGACGGAATAGAGAGTGCACCTGTGCTTGAGCCTATACTCACACTAACCCAGTCCAGCAGTCTACGTTAAGATTGGCTGCCGTGACCGTCTGTCTGGGGGATATTGTTATTTAGTGACGTATTAATTGGCAGTTGAATTTCCACCGAAGCTATGTTTACAAACCTGGAAAAATGTAATTAAACTAACTACGAACTGATCATATTATGATTTTAGATATAGATGATAGATATATCATCTATATCTATACAAATAAATAAAAGTGTCTCTTTGTAATATCAAAATAACAGCTTTTTACTAAAAGCGTATGAAAGCATATACGATACTTAAAACCAATTTTAATTTTTTTTTGTCTCTGTTTTTCTGTCTGTTTGTTCCGGCTAATCTCGGAAAAGGTTTAACCGATTTTGACGAGACTGAATGAAATCCATTCGTAATAATTTTCACGCGGACGCAGTCGCGGCGAACAGCTTGTTCAATATATAATTTACATTGAGTTATAATGTACGAGTACTATACATTATAACTCAATGAAAATTAATAGGTTGTTACAATTTTTTTTATACAAGTGAGTAGTGGGGGAGAAATGCGCATCACCTGATGGCAAGTAGATACTGTGGCCCTTAGACACCTACATTTATCTTCGATTAGGAAATACGTAAATAGCAGTTACGTTGTTACCCCTAATGCCTAAAACCTTAGTCACGCTTACAAGTGGTTGGGGTATAGCTCACAATAGTTCATATGTATGCAGTGCTATTGGTCTTGCAAGACCTGCAGTGCAACGAGAGCTAATAATTTTCTGCTCACCAGATTTTGCTAGTTGACACTGAGGTAAAGCTTTTAGTTACGCAATATCATTTAATTGAGAAATTGGTTTTTAATAAAAGTTTATCAGTTCCTAGAGTATTATATTAATACACAAAACAATGCGTCAGTGGTTTGCTCTTTAATTTTTTGCGCAATTTTAACTTTTTTTTTAAATTTTCTACTTTTATGAATATTTGTGATTTGGTTCATTTATTTTTAATCTTATTAATATAAAATATAACTAATATTATAGAAAGAAACAATTACATTTACATTTACCGAACAAATTAACTTCCCTGCTATGAAGTCTGTCAAGTATTATACCTCAGTTTCTAGTGGCGCCGCCCTGGTGGCTGAAAAAGTCGTGGGCTCATTGTGTAAGACTGGGTGTTAACCCCGATTGGGTTGGCTTCGTTTTGACGATTGAAGTTTGGTTTCGTGGTATTGTGTGAATGTATCAGTATTAATTATAAGCCGATGCCTTTTTATAGTAACTAGTAGTCGAATAGTGGTCGAAATTCACTATACAAATATGTCCATTGTACCGTTTACCACTACTTTACGTCATTGAGAAACCTTTTGTAATAGGAATAAGGTTGACAAAGAAGCACACAGTCAACCTGATAGTGAGTGGTTGCTTTGGTTCATAGACAATCTACATCTGGCATCTAATAATAAACCTAGCAAGCTAACAGCATAGCAAAGTGGCGAAGCAATCAGCTTTGTAGCGGTTTCTAACGGTTGCCGTTGAGCAATCAGTTTCAAAATAGGAGGTTCAGATGCCTGGGTGATCAGTAATCGATTGCTGAAAACAGAATTTGAAAATTCGAAACCGTTCTCGAGATAATCGTGGGTCAGACGGACAGACGGACAGACATCGTGAAATCAATAAGTGACTACGCAAGCTTCGCCACTTAATAATAAAAAATGTATGCGTTGTCACCCCTGAGGACGAAGATGGAATGCCTCGTCAACAGTCAACACTATTATTGAATTGATTAGAATGATTGTCGTGAAGGCTTGGCGACTGGACGAGTGAGTACCCTGTGAGTGTATCGCCTGTCTCCAAAACGTTTTATAAATAATGACATTGGAGATTGTTGAATTTTATTTCTTTACTAGTGACCCGCCCCGGCTTCGCATGCGTAGGATTTATTAATGTGGTGGTATTTAGTTTTAAGATAATCATCAAAAACCATAGATATCAGAGATTTATTGAAGTAATTTATCGATTTCTCAAAAAATATCTACAAGTTTTTCAAATAAAATATATCCTAGACCACTCCTGACATTGTTATGTTTCATTACAATCGGTTCGGTCATTCCAAAAAGATTAGCCCGAACAGGCAGATAGACAAAATTAAAAAAATGGTTACTTATGTCTTAATGCCATGCAAATAGCCCCCTCAACTCAATAAAAGGCAGTTATTTCGATATTACAGACAGACACTTTTACAGACTTTTTATTTAGCCTTAAACCTATTTATTTTTGCGGCTGATTGTTTTTTATACTTTGACTCTGTAAACCTGTTTATACTTTTCTATTAGCAATACATTATAGATATAAGATGACAGTTACGACTAATTTAGTTTTATGAGAGCGAGGGTTAATTGAAGTTAAGTGGAATAAGTCTGTCCTGTTCTGACGGAATTTCCTGGGAAAAAACGCTTTAATAAGCAAATAAAAAAAACTATTAATGCCGTCTAATATAGAAAATGTGTAATTAATCGAGGTTATTAGAATTAGAAGTGATGTTGAAGTGTCAATAATAGCCAAGTCATATTAAATATAAATACTTGTTTACGTTTTTAGGGTTCCGTACCTCAAAAGGAAAAAACGGAACCTTTATAGGATCACTTTGTTGTCCTTCTGTCTGTCTGTCTGTCAAGACCCTTTTTCTCAGGAACGCGTGGAGGTATCAAGCTGAAATTCATATCGAATACTCAAATCTACTGTCTCTTAGGGCTGTGAAAAAATCAAACTTCTAAGCCAACGTAATCAAAAGATACAGCCGTTTATGCCGTAAATTTTCGACATTCGCAAGGGAATCAAAACCTACAGGGTACTTGCTGTGAACTCAGAATCTTGAAATTTGGTACGAAGCAACGTTTTATAGCACAGATAAAGGAAAAATTGCGAAAAGCATAAATTTTTAGTTATATCATATAATAAAAATATTTTTAATAATTTGAAACTTATATACCTACAGATTTGTTCGGAACCCTCGGTGCGCGAGTCCGACTCGCACTTTGCCGGTTTTGTTTTTCTGAGACACTAATGGACCGTTTATTATCATTCGACTAGTTATGGTACAGTGTTATTATAACCTTTTTATCGCCAGCCAGCAATAATAAATTATTTAGATTACACAGAAGTATGATAAATGAGGCAATATTTTCTTACAACATAAGGAACAAATTTATCAGTATAAATTATACAGCTAAGGTACTGATTTATGGTGTTGAACAGAACTTTAAAGAAGATCTATTTTTAGGGTGCCGTACTCAAAAGGTAACCAACGGGACCCTATTACTAAGCATCCGCTGTCCGTCGTCCGTCCGTCTGTCTGTCAGCGGGCTGTATCTCATGATCCGTAATAGTTTTGTAATTTTCACAGAATGTGTATTTCTGTAGTCGCTATAACAACAAATAATAAAATTTAAATTCAATAAAAACTTAAAAGGGGCTCCCCTACTAGAAACGTGTATTGTGATGGTACGGAACTCTATATTATGCGCTGAGTCCGACTCGCACTTGGCCGGTTATTATAATATTCAGTATCCACCAATAGCAACAGTTTCACGAGATTGAATTTATAATTGAATTCGAAGGGTATGAAATAATAATAAATCTTGTAAGAAAAAACAAATGTTTCCCAGAAAAAGTGCTACGTTGGGTCTATCTATGCCTTGGCATTATAATCACGTAGTCACTTCGGACGATATCATCATCATTACAGCCTATAAGCGTCCACTGCTGAAGCTGAACTTGGCCTTCCCCGTTAAGTGCCTCACTTGCTTATGAATACTCTAAGACCTCGTATTTTTAGTATTTGCCATAATTGAACATGTCATAGTTGCCACGCCTGGCAGGCTGGTTAGCGAACGCAGTTTTTCTATTATTTGGAGTTTTTTTTTTATTGTATAGGATGACAAACGAGCACACAGTCCACCTGATGGTAAGTGGTTGCTGTGACCCTTAGACATCTACATTTATCCACAATAAAGAATCAAAATGCAGATGCGTTCTCTCCCGTGAGGACTAAGATGGAATGCCTCTTTTCTAGAAAAATGGGTCTCCGGTTCTCTACACTCACCATACAAAACACAGCAGTGTCAAGCTGCTATTTTACGCTGGTATTCTGTGAGAGCGTGATCCTTCTCCGGTCGAGCCGACCCATTCGTGCTACAACTATGCTACTAATATAGCTGCAGCATGGCTCTACCACGTATAGAGTTGTTATTAGGGAGACGATGCTGAGCATCTCCTGTTTCACTTATCTTCTGTAGCCTTACGGTACCAGCGGGATCAAATGGGGTAGTGAATTCTCTCCTGTCGCCACTACTCGGTTAGTTAAAATAACTCATAAATGATGAGTGAGTGTCAGTGAGTTAAAGTGGCAATGGGCGAGTGTTAAAGCAAAAAGAACCGCCAGCGAATAGGGACGAAAGGTTCAGAAGTGGTAGGTACTAGACCTGTATTTAAAATATATCGCTCGACGTCTGACGCCGGTGTTGAGCTTATGATATGAGATATTTTTAATGCCTGGGAGAATTCACAAGATGCCTTAGGTATTTTCTGTGATCTTTCCAAGGCTTTCGATTGTGTTCATCATGAGACATTAATCAGGAAACTACAACATTACGGTGTAAAAAATTTGGCGCTTAGACTTATTACTTCATATTTAAGTAACAGATCTCAAAAAGTCGTGATCAATGGTAAAGGTTCCTCCGGATCGATAATATCAATGGGCGTTCCTCAGGGCTCGATTCTTGGCCCATTCCTGTTTTTACTCTATATTAATGACTTACCTTATCTTGTAGGGGACAATCACGATATAGTATTATTTGCTGACGATACCTCTTTAATTTTCAAACTCAAACGGCAGTCAATTAATTATAAAGATGTAAATAATGCTATATCGAAAGCAGTACATTAGTTTAACGCCAACATTATGCTCTTAAACGGCAATAAGACAAAGTGTATTAAATTTACAATGCCTAATGTAAAACATTCGAATACCAATGTGCTGTTAAATGGGGAGGAGTTGAGTCTTGTGCATACCACTGTTTTTCTCGGTATTACTATTGACGCGAAACTTCAATGGGGCCCCCATTTATCATAATTAGCAAGCAGACATAGTTCTGCAGCATATGCTGTAAGAAATATTAGCAAGTCTCACAGATGTTGAGACAGCTAGATTAGTGAATTTTAGTTACTTTCATAGCGTAATGTGTTACGGAATTTTGCTATGGGGTAATGCGACTGATATTAAAGCTATATTTGTTTTGCAAAAGAGAGCCGTACGGGCGCTTTATAACCTATATTGTAAAGAATCCCTCAGAGAAAATTTTAAAGAAATAAACATATTATGTATGTACATAAAAATATAAATAGCTTTAGTAAGAATAAGAATGTGCATACTTTAAACACTAGGGAGAAACATAAGCTTGTAATGCCAGTTACTAGACTCCACAGAATTAGTAATTCATTTATGGGGCAATGTATACGCTTTTACAACAAAATCCCAGAACATATTCAAAGTTTGTCAATAAACAAGTTTGAAAGTTTTATTAAAAACTGTACAAAAAGGGTTATTATAATATCAAGGAATACATGAATGAAAATAACCCCTGGGAATAATGTGATCGCCACCATGCTGGTTCTATGAAAAATTGTATAAACGAAATTATTGTTGAGTGAAATATGTTTGAAAAAAAAGTCCCGTTGGGTTTCTTGCTGGTTCTTCCCAGGACAGAGGTATTTGAACCAGTGGTAATTAAACAAAAGAGTGAATTTCAATAAGTATTATTTATAATCTATATTGAATATAAAAGTTTCTGTATCTTAAAGTGCACCATAGGACAATCGTCCATTATATAGAGTGAGTACCTGAGGCGTGCAGGAAAGCGATGGACCATACGGTCGTTATTTTAAAAGTTAATAATAGTGATGAGTTGCAAAGATGATCACAATGAAAACATTTTATAAGCAGAAATTAATTTCGTATTATAATTTTATATAGGTAATGACCAATAACAATAACAAAATACAAACGAATGTAAATTGCATTTAGTTTTTAATTTTCGCAGTACATCGGCGACGCCAAAAATCCAATATGGCGACTGTCGCTCTGCGGCGGGAACGCAGCGCAGGTCGCGGCTAAGGCGGGCACCAAACTATTGCCGCCGAAGATCAGGATCGTTTGGAATCCACCCACCACGCCCTACCAGCACACCGAAAAACTGCGTCTTGTGGTCACTGCTGTTAACAGTGGTAAGTAATAATTTATAATCGTTAACTATATTTTATAACATATTGTTACTTTTTAGGGTTCCGTACTTCAAAAGGAAAAAACGGAACCCTTATAGGATCACTTTGCTGTCCGTCTGTCTGTCTGTCTGTCTGTCAAGACCCTTTTTCTCAGGAACGCGTGGAGGTATCAAGCTGAAATTCATATCAAATACTAAAGTCTACTATCCCTTGGAGCTGTGAAAAAATTAAACTTCTAAGCCAACGCAATCAGAAGATACAGCTGTTTATGCCGCAAATTTTCGATATTCGCAAGGGATTCAAAATCTACAGGGTACTTCCCGTGAACTCAGAATCTTAAAATTTAGTACGGAGCAACGTATTATAGCACACATAAAGGAAAAATTGCGAAAAACATAAATTTTTAGTTATATCATACGAGTATAATAAAAATATTTTTAATAATTTTAAACTTATATACCTACGGATTTGTTCGGAACCCTCGGTGCGCGAGTCCGACTCGCACTTGGCCGGTTATTTTAGAATATAGGTGACAAACAAGCAAATAGTCCATTTGGTGATAAGTGAATGCTATGGCCCATAGACATCTACATCTATAATCGACTAAAAATCTAAATGCAGATGCGTTGTCATACCTCGTTACCTGAAAAAAGAGCTTTCTGCACTCACCATACGAAACATAATCATCATCATCATCATCATTACAGCCCTTCACAAGTTCACTGCTGAACATAGGCCTCCCCCAAGGAATGCCACAAAGCACGGTCCTGAGCCACCTGCATCCATCGACTTCCTGAATATCTTACCAGGTCGTCACTTCATCTCGTGGGGGGACGCCCTACACTTCGTCCGCCGGTACGAGGCCGCCACTCGAGAACCGACGGATTAGTAAGCTGAAGTGGCAATAGGCCAGCCATATAACTCGAAGAACCGACAACCGACACAAAACATAGCAGCATTAAACTGCTGCTTCACGCTGGTATTCTGTGAGAGAATGGTCCTACCCTGTCGAACCGACTCGTTTGTTCTGCGGCTATGTATATTCTATTATTTTTTAGTAGCTTCCGAATACCTCATTCTCCGGTACTACCGGGTTCTCTTCCGAATAGGATGCAATGTACTCAAGTTAAATTCCACGAGTAAACATCAGCCTCATTAAAATTGTTGAATATAATATTATGAATATACGCACTGGCCGCGCACTTGTTATCACCTATTGTCTTTTTTTAAATGTCTTGTTTATACGTTAGGGTGTCTACACATTACCACACCACTTCTCATTTTGAAAAGGTGTCGAATTGCCAAAAAAACTACTTAATTCGAAAGTACCTAGTCAGGTCATAAGTATTGTCACACAGTAAAAACTTTTCTTTTAGAATGCTGGCCACAAAAAAGTTTATTGAATTCGAATTTCGAATTATTCATGAAAATAAAACTGTATACTTTTTAGAATTTTACTCATTTTTAAATACGGAGTGGACGCTTAAAGAAGACCGTGTTGCAGTTATTGCGTTGCATCGTTGCGGTTACGCGCCAATTCAAATTTTTGACATACTGAAAAATTTGAATATAACCAAAAGATTCGTTTATCGTACCATCAAACGATACAATGAAGACTCTAGTGTAGATGACAGGTCAAGAAGTGGTCGCCCTCGGTCTGTTCGGACTCCAGCAGTGATAAAAGCTGTGAAGGCGCGAATTGAAAGAAATCCCAAACGTAAGCAGAAACTGTTGGCCCTTCAGATGGGGTTTAAGCAGAACCACTGTGAAAAGGGTGTTAAATGAAGACTTAGGGCTTCGTGCATATCGAAGAAAAACAGGACATCGTTTGAATGCTCGTCTAATGGACCTGAGACTGAAGAGATGCCGCGCTTTGTTGAAGCGGTACGCGGGAAAAAATATCGGAAAATTCTTTTTTCGGATGAAAAAATTTTTACCGTAGAAGAGAGCTACAACAAACAAAATGATAAGGTGTACGCACACAGTAGTGAAGATGCGAGCAATCGTATTCCGCGTGTCCAACGAGGTCATTTTCCATCCTCGCTCATGGTATGGTTGGGAGTTTCTTATTGGGGCTTAACAGAGGTACATTTTTGTGAGAAAGGTGTAAAAACGAATGCAGTTGTGTATCAAAATACAGTCCTGACGAACCTTGTGGAACCTGTTTCTCATACCATGTTCAATAACAGGCACTGGATATTCCAACAAGATTCGGCGCCAGCTCATAGAGCGAAGAGCACACAAGACTGGCTTGCGGCGCGTGAAATCGACTTCATCCGGCACGAAGACTGGCCCTCCTCCAGTCCAGATTTGAATCCGTTAGATTACAAGATATGGCAACACTTGGAGGAAAAGGCGTGCTCAAAGCCTCATCTCAATTTGGAGTCACTCAGGACATCCTTGATTAAGGCAGCCGCCGATATTAACATGGACCTCGTTCGTGCTGCGATAGACGACTGGCCGCGCAGATTGAAGGCCTGTATTCAAAATCACGGAGGTCATTTTGAATAAACTTTCATGTCATAAGAATCTATGTTTTGTTAAATTAATTTTGGTATATAAATGGTTACATAATGAATAAACTTGTTTCAATTATTTTATATTAAACATGTGACAGAATTTATGACCTGACTAGGTATTATTTAAAAAAAAATTATATAGATATTATGTTTTGTGATCATTGGCTAACGGATTTAAAATTATACAATACGGTGTTTAATATTTTCCAGGCTCAATATGCAACAACGAATCTCAATTCATCTGCGGCGTAACCAGCCTCTGCATTTCATCGTATTTGGTCTGCGACGGGGTCCGCCACTGCCCTGGAGGCGAAGACGAGGACTCGAACGCGTGTTCCCATAGACGCGACCCGCCGTTCCTCGAGCTACTGCGCAGATTCGCTGCTAGAAACCAAGAACTTCTGGGTCTGGATCAGCCCGATGGCATGACGAAACCTTCGGTTATAAGTGAGTTTAATTATTACATTCATAAACACGCCTTTTGCCCAGAGGGGTAGGCAGATACCACACCTCTCGGTTACTTATCGGTACTTGTCGGTTTCTATTCGGTTCACTTATTACACAATTTCTGATGCTGTCATTCAGTTAGAGTCAGCCCTAACCCGTGTTTTCTTTTACCCATTTATTTTAGAGTTTAATTTAATTATTAGTCTTCTTTATAAGCCCGTAAAAGCCCACGGCTGGACATGGAGTTCTCCGAAGCGCCAGACGTCACCGTATGGTTCGCCCCTACGCCGCGCTGGTTTGAATATTTTACGTCTGTCGTAATCTAAATGTTTACACCGCAATCTATCGGAAGCGGAACTCTCAAGCACTTCACATTTCCGACACCCACGGAACACGAGTCGAAATATATTGATGGACTCCCTACGCCTCAAAAAAAAGAAGAACTATTCAAGTTCTCGGAATGCCAACTTTATATACGGTGTATCTCAGTGAATAACAAACGTGGATCTGATGGTCAAAGATTTCGGCCAAGAATTTTATTATCGTCTCTTTCTATTGCCATTTAGTAAAAAGAGAGAGAGAGCAAATTTAAGCATTTCTTAAATTGACGTAGATTTTTATAAGTAGTTGATATGTTTTTGTTTACCGAATCGTTTGCAATGTTGTATCGTTGTTGAATAGTATATTTTATATTCATTGTGTACATGATACATAAATTTAAAAAAATTAAGCCAACGCAACCTTGACCCTATTTCGTTTAATTTGGGTGCAGATGTCTAAGGGTTGCAGTACTTAATCAGGTGGTTTGTTAGTTCGTTTATCACTCTTATATTATCATAAAGAATACAGCTTTGATCATCTAGTTATGTATTGTAAATAGTCTATGTACGACCTACTACTAGCCTATGTACCGCTGGGCAGAGACCTCCTCTCATTTCTAAGGGTTTCTAGAGAAATTGATCCAGCGTACTGCTCAAGTGCGGTAATAGCTGTAACCTAATGCCTTCGAAATACTTTATACATCCGACATGCAAATTTCCTCAAGTTAAGATTTGAAGCACTTTAGAATATGAAATTGTTATATTCTTCTTTGTTATTTGAAGTAGCCTTTAACTTTTTATTAATAGTTAATTATGTATTATACAACATTTTAGCTTGTGATAAATGTAATAAAAGTTCAGTTGGAGTGAAAGTAGGCGATTTGAAATTTGCAGTGAAGATCAGCGAGCACGAACAGAAGACGAACGCTTTCATGGAATTCGCTGCGGCGCTGAAACCGTACGGGCCTTGGAGCTACCTGGTGGTGGGCATGCTCGTCTGTGCCACTATACTCATGTTCTGTCTGGCCTGGGGTAAGTTCATTTGAACTTTGATAAAATAACAGCAGCGGTTTTTATGTCTTCCTGGTATCGATATATTATGATATATACGTGGCAGAGTATGTTATGGTTGTAGAACGAATGGGTCGGCTCGACCGGGGTAGGACCACGCTCTCACATAATACCAGCGTAAAATAGCAGCTTAATGCCGCTGTGTTTCGTATGGTGAGTATGGACCCTCTTTACTGGAAACGAGGCATTCCATCTTAGTATTCAGAGGTGAAAACGCATCTGCATTTTAATTCTTAATCTATATACATCTATGGCATACAGCATCTTAAAATTAGGTTGCGTGCTTGTTTGTCAACCTTATTCTATAAAAAAATATTCCATTTATAAAGTTCTGAAGTTCAGCACCTACATTATGGGTAAAAGAAAAAAAATTGGAAAATCACAGAAAGTGCACAGCCCAAACGGTCATGTAACATTTTAAATGGTTTACAGAAGTGATTTGCGAAGGAACCAGCTCTACATGATTCTGAAGATAGTGAAAAAAAAAATTGGTCGTTTAGTTACGTAGTTCTCGAGATATCTTGTACACAGAGATTTTATGAACCATAGACTAAGGACATCCACAATATAATTTTTTACAGATTTTTTTAATAATATTAATACGTGTTGAATTTTAAAAAAAAGCATTAAGCTTGTTGATTAGTGTTTCCTCTTTCTAATCATGTGCTTTCCAGAACATATTAGTGCAATGTCAAATAATAAACACGATTTAATATGAGTGAAACGAGTGATTTATAAATTTCGACAGTTGAGCCCAACGCTTCGCGTTCGAGGTGTGCAAAGACATAGTTGTAGTCTATATAGACTATCTATAGCCGAATAATATATTTCTGAGAGGTTTATGGAGCAATTAATCCGCCGGGTTTTTAATGTTCGTGTCCTAATGTATTTAAGGGGACTTCATGTGGAGTTGTTTGTCGACATTTTTTTTAATTTCTCAAACACGCAAGTTTCTGTAATTAAATCAGTGCCGACGGAGATCGCATCGCTTAGTTTCTGTGAATACTACGGATACACGGCTCTGTATACGGGTACATAATACCTATATCATACTATCACAACCTGAGAATACTTTTTTTGAACTGTGTGGAAACTGTAGGTATACATTCATCAACAGAACAAGTAAGTGTGTACAGAAATTTTAGAGTAGGGCACGTCTGCTGCGCTGCCCCAATGCATGTCGACGGACTCCTTATTATGCTCTCGATTTTTTTTATTTCTCTTGTACATGTAGATTTCCTTACAATGTTTTCTTACACCGTTGTGCACGTAATAAATCAGATGTTTTTTCTTACGTTAATTCTTATTTAGAATATTAAGTAATAAGAGACGAAATGGGAAAAGCCAATAGGTCCTTATTATCTACGAAAGCTAGCTGAAAAAGATAGCGTGACAATTGATGCTAACATGTCTTGCTTACGTACATACAATATTCTGACAACAATGACACTTACAGACATATTTAAAACTTGGAGTTTAGAAGTACCAATATTTTACTCTTCCCTAGCTAAATGGAATCACAGTACTTATAAAAACCTTAATCTTTACAGAATGCTGCTGCAAACGTTCCAAGCCGTCAGACACACCTGTTAACATTCCGGCATCTTGCATCGACCTGTCACCAACTGTCACAGTGACAGCAGCGTCTCAGCAGATGTTCACGGCTTCACTTCCTGCCACTCCTCCTGAATATGAGCCTCCTCCCTCTTATTCCTCTCTCTTCCCACGTGCCTTCAAATCCTCACCAACTCCAGTGCCACACTGCTCTCACCAAGAGCCACCAGATTGAAGAGATTCCTTTGATTATATATTTAACTAGATAGTCCTCCTTTTCTAATATCGCACGTTGTGGACACCCGATATTTCAATCTTTTGCTAAAACTATTTCCATACGAATTTTATTTCGTAAAGCGGCGACGAAAATCGTAATTAGCTTATGACTAAGCGTTATTAATCAAATAACGTTTGCTAATTGCTATATACTAGTATATGCTAATTGACAATAATTGCATTAAACTCTTGACGGTTCATTGACAAAAAGAATTACTGCTCAGGCAGACAAACGGTGATAAATGTAATAAAAAAAGGTTTTCGCCACATTAGACTTAATGAAGGTAAATTTTAATATAAACACAAACCAACCAAAAAAAAAATTAAACGATGTAATACCTTTTCATTTTAAACTGCAGAGTATAAAAGGTAAATTAACAGCCTCAATACGTTCACCAGCTTACCATTACTGAGAATGAGAATATTATAGAGGATTTAGTTCGCCGCGCTTCTTTAATTTTGACGGTGACGGACCTTACATGTCTTTGAATTATTTTATCTCTCAGACATGCAAATTCCCTGGCGAAGGTTTTCTTGACTTAAAATTGTAGTCAACGACAGTTTTGGCGACGGGGTCAAACTTTAGTTGCCCACAGATAATGTTTACGGCGAGCGCGTGCCTTCTGAGCTACCACGGTTGTGTGTACAGTGCAGTATTTGGTATTAAATTGTTACTCGCAATGGTGATGCTACATCATCAGTCTACGATCCTTGTTTTTAGATGGATTTTCTTATATCAGTCGACAGAGTCGTTTGTCTATCAGTAGAGCGCCCCGTTTCAGATGCTTTTGGCATTTGGAGAAAAGAGGTAGCATGTTCCCTGTGACTCAATCATGTAGTAAAGACATTAAATAATATAAATTTTATACTAAAGTACTATTTTTAGGGGTTGGTTCTATCAAATAAAGCCATTAAACACGTCGTTTAATTGTCGCTTAAACTAATTTAAATCGATTTTCGTTGAATCGATTTTTCTTTAGTTCCGATAAAAACTTCGTATATCTGAACCGAATAACATTCTGCATAATTAAATACATATAGTATTTCAAATATATCGCCGGTGTATCGGTGAAACTATAAAAAATATATAGATATTCAAAAATAAAATCTTTATATATAAAAATTACGTGTCACATTGTTTGTCCGCGATGAACTCCTAAACTACTGAACTGATTTCAATGAAATTTTGCACACTTAGTCCAACTTTAGTTTAGTCCAACTTGAGAGATAGGATAGTTTTTATCCCGATAAGTGAACATCATCTTTTTTATTGCTAATTTCAGGAGTTTTTTTAGAAAATCAAATGGTCGTCGGAAAGGGCAGAACAACGTCTGCCTGGTCAACTAGTATATTATACAATTTTTGTGTCCGTGTGTATGTGACTGAACTCCTCCTAAACTGCTTGACCGATTTTGATAGAATTTTGTATCTGTGATTAAACTGATTAGAGAAAGGTTTATATTCATAATTGGACCCAGTAGATGGCGTTGTTGTCTAGATCCATAAATCAACCGTGCGAAGCCGGTGCGAATCGCTAGTATATGTGTAAAATATAGTGATGAGATAAAATAAAAGCATCTTGACACTACTATTATATTAATGTACGGTATTGAATTATTATCTTTGATCTGAATACAGATCAAAGAGTATTAACAATGCTTTAATGTTTCATAAATACAGAAATCAAACGAGTATGTAATAGTTTCCGCATCAAGTTATAACATTTAACTAGAGCGAACGACGAGCCTTTTTCGAGTTATGTATTTAGTTATAAAGAGTTGTTCCTCATTCATATTTGTTGCTTATCGATAAACATTATCGGTCTTATTTATAATCGTTTATTATCAATTACTTATAACTTAAATATTGTACCTTGCTGTCTCTTTCTATTGACATATTATAGTAATGGGAGCGCAAACAACTTTAAGTATATCTTTTGATGACATCGATTTTTATAAGTAAGACCGTTTATTCATTGCATTACATGTATAATTCGTTTAAGGTTACTAAAGAAAAATAAACATTTTATGAACAAAGTAGCGACGTTATAAAAATTATATTTTATACTCATTCCCTTTGTGAGAAATTGTTGTTAGTTTATCTGAATGTTCCTTTCTATGCATTACATTTATTAGATAATATTTTAAAATACTCTGAAAATTCTATAGTTGTAGTACCCTAGTGCCAAGGTTTTACATATAATATTGAACGTTAAAATCGGGATAATACATTGAACCACAGAAAAATTTTCTTTGTCAAAAGTGGACCATAGATCAAAATAGCTGTAAGCCAAAGTGTCCCATTTTATTAATTGTTTTTTGACAAACATGAGGATTTATTATTTAATTTAAAAAAATGATTTCTGGTCCACTTTTTATACCACAACGTGCGTTGTATATATTTCTGTATGGGGCCATAGATAATAAGTACAACTTTGTCACACTTTTCGAATAGGATGATGTGTGCGAATAGTTTGGGGACCAAGGTTTTTATTAGTGAATGAATATTTTACTATACGTCTGAAAATTGTGCCTTAGTTTTAGTGTAGTTGTCTATTTTATCTCATAACAAATAAAAACTATAGACGTGTTTTAACAGGGCCAGATAGTCTAAATGTCTAAATGTTACCGTTTATATAAGGTATTCGTTCAAATATGGGTGGACCTACCTACCCACCTACCTATCTACCTGTAGTTGCTACAACAAATCTTAAACGTTAGGTACAAGCGAGCAAGTAGTCGCCTTAATTATTTATCTTACAAAAAAAAATGATAAATATATGTGCTACCAAAGAATATTGCCTTGCTAAACTATCGAAAAAGAGCTTTTTGCGAAATGACGGGTTGCAGCTTTGTTGTAGTGTTTGAAAAAGAAAAAAGAATATAAAAATTCATTTTTGGTAACTTTAAAACAAAATTACTTTTAATGGGTTCAAAGTTTCTAAAGATGTAAAAGAGCGGTCACATTTATTGTAGTATTGAAAGTAGTAACTATAATTTTCTGATGTGAAAAAATATTAAACAGCATAATATAAGGTTATATCTAGAAAGAATTATTTTTCAAGACCCTATAATAGTAAATTATAAGTTCATATTTAGGTACTGTATCATTTGAAACCTTGTAAACGAATTTGTGTTTATATTATTTTTTAGGCATTAAGAAATAGTGTGAGGATAACTGGCCTTCCTGAACATGTTATGTGATAAGAAAATATGTATGTTATTAGATATTCTTTGTAACTCCAATACGAAATGCTTCTGAGTCTTGAAAATGTGTTATTCAGTTAAAAAGGGGTATGATTTTAGAGTTGCTGGAACTTTATATAAAATATTACGTAACTAGTTAAAATTATTAATTATTTTTAATTCCAAATTATGTGGATACATTTTATGAAATATGTATTTGTGACACTAAAATTACACCCTGTTATAAAAGATTTTACTAGTCTTCTTAGAAACTTAATGTTTTATATTTTTAGGTATTGTTTTTCTGTATGTTTTAAATTAAAGTTCTTCTGTAAGTATAGTATTTACATTTCATCAAGGATAGATCTGCAAACAAAATGTAACTGAAACATGATCATGTACATGAAAGTGATATGTATTATAAAAAACCATGAATATAAACATGATATCTATTTATTAAAAACAACTTGTGTTTTAATTCGAGTTTCCAATTCCACACACAGTAACTAAAATTAATGTTTTAAAGAATGCGCTACTCGCAATTTATTAGTACGTCATTATACTTAAATGACATTTGCCGTAGATCCGATAAACCCGATCTGTCAATTCTACTTTACATCACTTGTCTTTTTAGAAATTGTTTAGAATTTTTGGATGGATTTTCCGCAATCTTACTACTCCTACTACTACTAGGTGGACTCCATTTTTGTCTAGGAGTCCGTCTGGTTTGGACCTTTTTGTCTATTTCTGACAATGCTCAACATGCTGAAGCTCGGCAGGCTTATATTTTCTGTCACAGATCCCTCGTGTCGTTTTACAGCAATGCAGGTAATGCATTACCTGCATTGCTGTAATCCAGTCTTCAGACTTTCAGGGTATGAGAGCCAGAATAATTACAGGCTATAAGGCATTCTATTTTGGCTTCAGTGGAGACACCACATTTGTAACCTTTTTCGTTTGACGTTGGTCCCTAGGGCCCCTGAAAATTTTGAATGAAACACATTACGTCTATAAATTTTTTAATAGAAATAAAACAATTGTTTCAGGCCTATTGTATAAAAACTAACCACATTTTGCCTGTAGTTCTTCAAAAGAGCGATGTCGCGGTTGATAGGATTAAAAAGCTTGAGCGGAATTGGAAAATTCAGCTCTAAAAAATACAGCATAGCATCTCAAAGCGGGTGGAAACGCTTGCAATACTTGCTCAACATGCTGAAGCTCGGCGGGCAGATATTTTCTGTCACAGATCCCTCGTGCTCTCTGAAACAAAGATTTTCCCACGGTCGCTAAAAGTGATGGAACATTTTGGAAATGTCCAGTGTGTCGACGAGAGTAGCGTATCTCGTTTTGAAACTAACTAAAAATATACTGTAAAGGTTGTACAAGTGTACGCATCAACTTCGACACACTCGGACGATGAAGTTGAAGTCATGTATGTAGCGAAGGTTTTACACAACACCGCTAAAGCTCACTTTAATGCCGTCATGGGGGACTTTAACGCCAAACTTGGGAAGCATACAGGTGTTTTCAAACGATTCAGCTTATTTTCCCAGAAACTGAATCGTTTGAAAGCACCTTTATGCTGGGGTATGCACATTTTGGGAAGCATAAACCACAGGGGGCAAATGCTGATCAACTTCCTCGAAAAAGAGAGGCTTCATCTAATGATTACCTATTTTCAAAAAAAAATCCCCAAAGGAAGTGGACTTGGCGCAGCCCCGACAACGTGACGAAAAATGAGATCGACTTCAGTGATCAATAGGTTGGATACAGGAAGCGATCATCGACTTATTTGAGGCACTCTGAATATCAATTTTAAGATTGAAAGAACCCGTCTGGTTAAGTCCACGCTCCGACCAAATGCTTTTCAAACCGTAGCGGGATCCCATCGTTTTCAGTTGAAACTCCGGAATCGATTCAATGCCCTAAAACCCACATTGGACATTGACGAGGATATCACCAGTGTGGTCGAGATCTTAAGGGATGAGGGGAACAGGTTGTGTAGTAGGCAACATATAGGCCGGAAGTCTAAACTCTCAAACGAGACACTTCAGCTTATGCAAAAGAGACGTGAGGCAACATCAGCTGTGCCATCAGGACAGCTGGCACTCACAAGACTTGCAAGGAAAGCTGTACGGCGGGACCTGCGGTGCTCCAGTGCAAACTTTATTCAAGAGGCAATAGAGCGAAACAAGGGTCCCAAAGTCTGCTTGAAAGCTTGGTAGGAGCCTCATTACTATACTAAAGACGTGCGATGGCAAAACCCTCACGTCAAAGCCTGAGATCCTCACTGAGATCGAAGACTATTACGGTACACTCTATGCCTCGCAAAACCAGCAACCTGACCCCAAATTCGAAGATCCCAGAGTCACATTAATTCGCAACTTTACCGACAAGCTGCCAGATATCTGTATGGAGGAGATAGAGTTGGCCCTCGGGCAACTTAAAAATGGAAAATCCCCAGGAGAGGACGGAATTACAACAGAGCTCTTGAAAGCATGGTTACAACCAGAAAGATGACAAGACAATTTTAAAGAATAATTGGCCCATCTCACTTCTGCGCCAAGCCTATAAGTTGTTTTCGAGGATCATCACGAATCGACTTGCGCGGAGACTTGACAAATTTCAACCACCCGGGCAGGCTGGGTTTCGAGAAGGCTATGACACCATAGACCCATATTAGATTAGAATAGAATAGAATAATTCTTATTCGATATAGATTACAAGTAATTCTTATTGAAAGTCATTTTTTAACATTACCACTAATAGTTTAGTTGTAGAACAAACGGGTCGGCTCGACTGGGGAAGGTCCACGCTCTCACAGAATACCAGCATAAAATAGCAGCTTAACACTGCTGTGTTTCATTTGGTGAGTGTAGAGAACCGGAGATCCTTTTTAATGGAAAAGAGGCATTCCATCTAAGTCCTGACGGGTTACAACGCATCTGCATTTTGATTCTTTATTGAGGGTAGATGTAGATGTCTATGGGTTACAGCAGCCACTTACCATTGGGCGGTCTGTGTGCTCGTTTGTCACCCTATCCTATAAAAAAGACCACGTTCATCATTACAGCCCTTCATAAGTCCACTGCTGCTCTCCTAAGGAATGCCACAAAACACGATCCTGAGCCACCTGCATCCATCGGCTTCCTGCATGTCTTACCAGGTCATCACTCCATCTGTGGGGGGTCGCTCTACACTTCGCCTACCAGTACGAGGCTGCCACACGAGAACCTTTCTTCCCCATCGGTTGTTGGTTCTTCGAGCTATATGGCTGGCCCATTGCCACTTCAGCTTACTAATCCGTTAGGCTATGTCGGTTATTCTGATTCTGCTGCGGATATCCTCATTTATAAGTTTATCACACAGAGAAACTCCGAGCATAGCTCTCTCCATAGCTCGCTGAGCGACCTTGAGCGTCCTCATAAGGCCAGCAGTGAAGGACCACGTCTCAGATCCATAAGTCATCAATGGCAACAAGAACTGGTTGTACAATCTTGTTTTCAGGTTTTGAGGTATACCTGACGAGTAGATGTGTCATAGTTTCCCGAACGCTGCCCAGCCGCGTTGAATCCATCGATTGACCTCTCGGTCGAAGTTAGACTTACCTAGTCGGACTATTTGTTCCAGATAAACATACTCGTCAACAACTTCGAGCTTCGATATACCGACAGTTATCTTGGCACCGCTGAAGGAACTGCAGCACCGCCCAAATTTTGACGGAATCTAAGGCTTTCTCATAGTCCACATACATAAGGCAAAGTGGCAGATTGTACTCTTCTGTCTTCTGTACAATTTGCCGAAGTGTGTGTATGTGGTCCATGGTACTAAAACCTTTTCGGAAATCGGCTTGTTCGGAAGGCTGGAAGTCGTCAAGTCTGCGTGCGAGACGATTCGTAATGACTTTCGAAGACAGCACGTAGACGCGGCTCAGAAGGGAAATCGGTCTGTAGTTCTTCAAGAGAGCGTTCTCGCCTTTCTTCAAGAACAAGACCACCGCACTTCTGTTCCACGCCTCCGGAGTAGTGCCACCACGGAGGACGGAATTAAAGAGCTTCTGAAGGACTTTAACCGGTTTTCCACCCGTTTTCAGAAGTTCCGTTGTAATTCCATTCTCACCTGGGGCCTTGCCGTTTTTAAGGTGCTGGAGAGCCATTCTAATTTCGTTCAGACTGACGTCCGAGATATCTTCGGAATAGTTCCACGTTCATAAAGTGAGGCAAATTATACAGAAAACGAATGAGTATAATCAGCCTTTTTGTATGGCCTTTGTGGACTATGAGAAAGCCTTTGACTCCATCGAATCTTGGGCTTTTCTGAACTCCTTGTAGCGTTGCCGGATTGACTGGCAAACATACAGTTTAGTCTTACAAAATCGATGAAAAAAGGCGGGATTCCCGCATTTGTGTTATCTGCAAAAGCCCTGCAATAGTGTTTGTGTTGAGTAGGCTGGTGCAACTTCCATAGTAAAATTTAAATGTATGAAACGGGACCTACTTTTGATGGCTTGTTACCTCTACTTTCTACTTTTCGTTATATGTCTAATATTGATATTGTCAAATAAAGACGTTCAAATGTCAAAGCAACACAGACCACCGGCGGAAGGGAGTAGATATACGCAGACCCCTGCCCCTCTGATTCTCTCTTCTGTTCACTGCACGCTACACTAAATCTAGTTGCCGTGGCTAAAGCGAAGTCCTACAAAAATGCCGAATTTACAAAGAGATGGCGTTACCTTTTATGTACGAGTATAAATAAATTTTCAATCACGATATTACTATTTACTTCTTTTAAATTTAAAAATTACAGTACTAACGGTCGTGTTGTTTTGTTTGTTTATCAACTCAGGTCGTTCGCCCTCATACAATATGCAGGTCAGTCGAGTGACTGAACCGAGTCAGTTTAACTTTTCAAAGACACAATATTGTGCATTTACCGCTAATACCGTTTGTCATATTTCTTTTTTTAAGGGACTCCCGTTTAGAATTCTCAGCGATGACATATCGTGTGACTTACAGTTCCACAGTAGATACTAGGCACAGGCACGGCCTCAAATGAAATACTGTTCTCATCCCTGGCCCGGGGCATCCCAGTAGCAGCTTTTACTGTTTGAGCGCATTCTTTGGCGAGTGGCTCGAATCATCGATGACTACTGGCCTTGATAGAGACGCTCCAACTCTGTGCATTTTTATCACATGATACCACAGGGAGTGATCCGAGGTATTATTGTTCGGATTAATTCCAGCTGCTATGTTCTACCACCACATCGTATACAACGAGAATAAATACAGAATTCTTAATTCCATTCACATCATTTCGACGGTTCGCAGTCCACTACTTTGCATTTTACCAGGAAGTTTCTTCCACGCGCGATCACATTGTGGAATTTGGCGAGCCTACTCCTATCTAGAAGATCGGTGTTACCGATGTTCATGGGTTAGCTCACTTGCCTTCTTTT